GTCCATAAATAATAATAATGGCCATCATACCATTAGTGATGCCATATAATATTTAAAAGGCAAACTCACTGGATGTTGAAACGTTTCACACACACTCATGCTGGTCGGCTCCCAAACCCAACCCCAGTTAGGTAATGGATGGACAGATGCTGGTCATAAGTGGATTTCTTTTCCAACCCACACTGACTGCTTTGTACTTTCCGTTGACACCAATTTAAATGCAGTATGAATTTAACATGATTTATGACTTAAATAAATGCTAACCTTCAGATGTTAATATTTTAATACAGGGGCTCTGCCATTGCCAAGATAGTGGGAGCCAATGCTGCGAAGAATTCAAAATTTGACAACACTGTGAAAATGTGGGTGTATGAGGAGATGGTGAATGGGCGTAAACTGACAGACATAATCAATGCAGACCATGAAAATGTGAAGTACCTTCCGGGCCACAAGCTGCCAGCAAATGTGGTAAGAAACTGTTGGCTTATCTCCTTTTAACTGTAGTGTTCTGCCTGTTGATTTTCAGTCTGTTATAGTGCATGTCTGTACTGTACTTGATGTATTTCCTGCATTTGTCCTTGTCGCCTTTATGGCTTCCTACATCACAGCCTCCATAGTTAATTGTCAACTTTTTTTTAAAAATAAAGATAAAGAATTGAACCACTGTAGCATCAGTTTTCTGTATGTGGCCTCACAGCAGGCTGTTAAACCAGCTCTTTGAGTTGCACCAGACTTGAACATATGACATAGATTGTATCATCCTCTTCACCCTTCTTTCCCCGTCAGCTGGCCGTCCCAGACCTGGTGGAGGCGTCCAGTGATGCGGACATCTTGGTGTTCGTGATCCCACATCAGTTTATTGGTAAAGTGTGTGACACCATCAAGGGCAAGATTAAGAGTGATGCACTGGGGATATCCCTCATTAAGGTTAGACGCCACTCGTTGTTATTACATTCATCTCTGAATTTTTCACCATTTGTCACCAGTTTTGGTGTGGCGCTCATTCACATTGTATGCCAAGATTTGTACAGTTAGCCAGGTTAAAGCAGCAGTAAACCAGTCGTGCAATGTAATCTTTATAGACAGTTACCAACTTGGTAGGGCTTAATGTAAATATACTAGTGTGTGTTTTTGTTCCTCCAGGGTGTGGACGAGGGGCCTGATGGACTTAAACTCATTTCTGAGGTGATCCAGGAGACGCTGGGTATCGCCATGAGCGTGTTGATGGGGGCCAACATTGCCAATGAGGTTGCCGATGAGAAGTTTTGTGAAACCACCATTGGTTAGTGTCATTACTGAGCTTTTCACATTTCTTTACCTTCTTTACCATATTCTTTTAACGCTTTGGAAAAACACAGTTTAGTTAAGACAAAGCACCTTGCACTTTGATCAGTATTTATTATACAGTAATAAAACAGTTTTAGCCTTGAAACAGGAAGCGTCTGTGTTCTCCAGCTTTCTGCATCGTCAGCAAGGCGGTGAAAGTTGAATTTGCTTTGTGCTGTTGTTGCTGTGTAAATAACAGAGTGTGCCATTTGCTTTCTTCCTGTCTTTACTTAACCAATGTTCTTCATGGGGCTGACTATTTGTATATAAAACATGACAATCCTGTCTGGACAGGATTAATATGTGTTGGATCACAGCTGGTAAATGTAACTTGTTAGAGGCCTTGGAGTGTTACAGCTGTTGAGTGTAGAAGTGCCAAACTGTAACCAGATTCTTGTTTCCACTTCCAGGATGTAAGAATAAAAACCACGGTGCTCTTCTGAAGGAGCTCATGCAGACCAACAACTTCAGAGTTACTGTAGTAGAGGAGTATGATGTGGTGGAAATCTGTGGAGCCCTGAAGGTGAGTTTTCAAAATAAAACACGGCTGTAGTTTCAAATATATGTAGAAAAAAAAAAACTACACATTAACAACCACGTGACATTTCTCTGTGAAGTTTGGTTTGAAATACTAAACCCAACGATGCTGCACACTCCAAGCTACTGAGGGACGCCTGAACTCACCACTCAGTTGGGGAAAAAAAATGTACAAGACTCATCATTTTCAAATGGGACCAATGCTGATCTTCCATAGCAGTTTGCCAATATTACTGTTGTGCAACATGGATAGTGTCTATCTGGGAAAGCATGACAGCTGCAACACTATCTGTAGCTCTGTCCTTGTACTTTAACCCAAAAAGCCCTCATGTTTCGTTCTAACCCACCTCTGTAGTTACAGTATGTCAAATAGAATCACCTTTACAAAGAACCAAACTACTAAATTAGAAAACTGTATTCTTTGTTCACGTTTCTTCCTCCTCATGCATCCTTCAGAACATTGTCGCGGTCGGAGCAGGTTTCTGTGATGGCCTGGGCTTCGGGGACAACACAAAGGCAGCAGTGATCAGGTTGGGCCTGATGGAGATGATAGCCTTTGCTCGCATTTTTTGCACTGCTGGGCCCGTGTCCTCTGCAACTTTCCTGGAGAGCTGCGGTGTTGCTGACCTCATCACAACCTGCTACGGCGGCCGTAACCGCAAAGTGGCAGAGGCTTTTGTGAAGACTGGGAAGGTGAGAGCTTAGAAATTTTTATTGATTATATTTATTTCTTGAACCAAAAACTTGTAGACTATTTGAGAAAAGGACATTTTTATAGTGTATTTTGATTTTAATGAACAGTAGCCAATGTTGACAGCTGGTCTTGGTTTATTGACAAGTAGAAGAGGTCCTTCTGTTTACGGGGGCACAAGACAAAATCTGACAGGCTTGAAGAAGAGGTACCTTGTAGTAACCCCGGCTGAATGACTAACTCTTTAACTGATGTGTCACTAAAGCTTTATTGATGAGTAAAATACACGTGAACTCACCAAAAGAGCTAGGAAGGAAAACAATAAAACAGTCTTTAGATATCCTGTCCTAACATGGGAGCATTCAGCCACAAACAAAAATGACAGGTTCCCAGTTTTGTCTGACAGCATCAATGAAGGTTCCCAATGGAACAGGTCAGCCCTGCTGTAATCATTCTTCCTTATCATACTAGCCTTTAGAAGTCTCATCCTAACGTGACGGATGACAAAAGCCACAGTCCATGCAGACGATTTTCAGGAGCTAAAATGAGACTTCAGTAACTTAAACGAATGAAGGGGGTAGTTTTAAAAGTTGTAGTATAAAACACAGCCTTTTTTTTTAGGTTAGTTTGACTATTTGAAGTAAAATAAAAAGTTATTTGGAATTGTATTGTTATTTTCTGAGCCAACAATTAGCTAAACCTTAACTTCTAATACAGGCATGCAGTTACATCAGGATACCGAGGTAGAAAATCCATGTTTATTCTTTAGAATTACCACCTTTTTAATACCAGAGGCACAGGGAGTCATCCACAAGCATTTAAACTAACCTAATCTGTGTGAGATTAACCTCACCAGGCATTTTACCCCCAGCTGCCTTTACTCAACTCAAAAACTTTGTATCATAAATAACTGGAGAAATGACAACCCACCTTCAAGATGAAACCCAAATCAAAGGGACCATACCCCAGGTTATTTACAGTCCATCACATATTGAAATTGATTTGGTTTTTTAAGTATGTGAGTGCTGGAAGATTGTCAAATTGTCAGTGTGGGTCGTCTATCGATTTCACAATTGTGCATGTCATGTTTCTTCTTTTATTTCTTCTCTTAATCAGTCCATTGAGGAGCTGGAGAAAGAGATGCTGAACGGCCAGAAGCTGCAGGGACCAGCAACAGCAGCTGAGGTGTATCTCATCCTCAAGCATAAAAAACTAATTGACAAGTAAGTCAAGAAGTACCATGACACACAGGAATTATAGTACGGTTTCCAGTGATACGATACTTTTACACAACTGTACCTCCTCCTTCCTTCAGGTTCCCTCTGTTCACTGCAGTCTATCATATCTGCTACCAGGGCCATCCAGTCACAGAGTTCATAAGCTGTTTGCAGAACCACCCAGAGCACATGTAAAAAAAATAAAAATAAAATAGTGACTGACCAAGTGCCTTCTACATGGACAAGGTTACCACTTTTTATCTGTAACCCCTAAGAAATAGATGGGGGATGACCAGTCACTCCACAGCTGTCATGCTACCAGACATTTTCAGCCGGTGAGTGTTATCCCTGTTTGAGGTAGTTTAATGTACATGTTCAGCTCTGTTAAATTCTAATTCTGGTTTATTTCAACATGGCATATTTCCCAAAACTGTGGCTGCTGTTGGCTGTATAGGTCGCGCTAGCTTGCACTAGCCGCCTCTGTTCTAGAGATTCTGGAAAACAAGCATCGTGTAAATGTTGGTGCAATGAGTGAGAGTCTTCTCCAGCTTTCAAAACCATGTGGTTTTATATGAATCATCTCAAACACTCGTCTGAATCAGACTGAATGTAGCTGCTAGGAACATTCATTATGCTAACTTACAGGGTTTTACATCCAGGGCAACAGTTTGGCAAAAGCCCTCTTGTCTCTGAATCTCTACAGTGGCGGCGGCGAGTGCATGACAAACTATGCTCAGCTGAAATGAACTGGAATTGTAACATTCACTTAGATATTTTTAAAAATGTCACTCATTTCTTGACGCGCACTGAACCATTTGGAAGCGCACTGCATTCAAAGAATAAAAAAAAAAAAGATCTTACCTTATACGAGACAATGCAGGCGTTGGAACGCTGCAGAACGTGGCTGAAAATCAGAAGGCTTTAATGAATTCTTTAGCATCAAAGTAGTTCAGTGCTAGTTGTCAGCACATAGCAAAAGTGAGCTGTTAATAACTAAATCAATATACTTGGTTTTCCAAAATGTAAATAAATGTAGCCTAGGCTAAAAACAGCGCCCACATTGTGACGACTAATGTTTTGTCAAAATTACAAGATCAGGATCTTGTAATAGGTTAGGGTTGCTCTGTAAGATACAGGCATTAAAGAATTCATTAAAACCTGAATTTTCAGGCAACCTCTGCATTACTTCATGATTATAAGAAAAGAGAATGAGGTCCAGATTTCATAATTATGACTTACTGTCTCAAAATTACAAGCTCCTGATGTTGAAGTTAAAAGATCAGGATCTTCATGTAATGAGTCATAATTACATGAAGATCCTCTAGATTTCTTTGAATGTAGTGTGCTTCTGTAAAAACATGAAGGATAACTCAGTTTTTTCCCAGAGAATCTCCTTTAGAGACAAGTGAATCAGAACACATCGGTTTTTAAAACAGCCACATTCCAACACTAGTGCAGAAATCCTCACATGGATTTCAGCAAAAGTAAACAGAATTGTAGACAAAGATAAGCTACATAACTGTCAATGCCAACTTATCTTTTTCAAGCAGATAGTCACTGTGTTACTGCCATACAGTACATGTACACTGTGCCCTATGGAACTACATCATGCATTCTGATTTTCACAAGGCCTATCAGCAGCCGTATGAAGAGGAATTTATCCTCATCTAATGTTTGTTGCCATTGTGTCAATGCTTATCCATCAATTATGGATGTCACTTTGTGTGCTCCAAGTATCTTGCATAATTTAATATAAACTTGCACTGTATTAACATATTGTCAATTGCAAAATGTAAGTGCCTTAGAATACATGTTTGCTAAGACTCAGTCAGTCTTTTTGTCCAAACCAGACTTAACTACTAATCATCCATCAACTGCACTTATTTTATTACTGTGACCGTTTTCATTCACGTATAATTGTTAGAAATTATATCAATGTTTGTCTGTGAATAAATTAACTGTCATCAGGTCATTACTGGAATCATTTTTTCACACATTAAATAGGGAGTTAAGACAAACAGTGGTATACATGCACAAGTGGCACCATACACATTCCTTCCAGTGGTGTCACACTAACCCCCTGAGCAACAAGCAGCAGTAAACCGCTAAGACAGACCCCGGTGCACCAGCACATGCAGGGAAGAAGACTGCTAGCAAGTAAACACTGGGTAAATCGCATGTCACTTAAGATCGTTCTTATGTCCTCTGTCAACCGGAACAACTTCTGGGTCAACCGAGGACAAAATGAAGTCTTATATCAGCTCTGAAGACCTAGGATGGCGATGGAGGACCCATGAGCGCAGATACGAGACCTTTATTTGAGGATTTTTGAGAACTGAAAGAAAGTCACTTTCAGCTTTTTCCCCATTTTAGGAGTCGCCACAGGGAATCATCACACTGACGCCGGGCCGCAGCAGCGAGAGTGCTGTGCCTTAACCACTAGCCTACCAGGGATGGCTTAGGTTTTTTTGAGAACTGACACACCCCTTTATCAGAAATCAGTTGGTGATTGGACACTTCAGATGAAGGATCTGAAGAAAGGACATCTCATGTTAATGTGTTTCCTCGAGTTCTTTCTCTTCACATTTTACGTAAGCAGGGCTGAGACAAGGAAAAGACAAGTGAGGGAAATGACGGTGCTTATGAGAGACTTGGGATGAACCCATGTCCTAAAGTTCGAAAACAACTGTGTTTGCTAGTGCTTTGATTATATTTTGGTGGTCAAAAGTCAGTGGCACTGTGACCTCATGTCTGTCCCATTCTCATGCCTTGAGGATGCTTATTCAAATTTTGCACTAATTGTCCACTTGGATTCAGCCCTCTGTAAAAATAGTCTCCTCAGTGGCACTGTGACCTCATGTCTGTCCCATTCTCATGCCTTGAGGATGCTTATTCAAATTTTGCACTAATTGTCCACTTGGATTCAAAAACACTTTATTTTTACAGAGGGCTGATAGAAAACTTGTCTCAGTTGAAGTTGGCAGGTCTCTCACTGTAAATGCAATAGAATCATACACATCAATATAGTGATAACTTCAATTTTGACAAAAAAAATATAAACAATGTCTTATTAAATTAAAGAATGGACAGACATGCATGCCAAGTTTAACTGGACTAGATGGTGGAGGCATAGAACCGTGAGGTGGTAATTTAGTTGTTTTTTTTGTTTTGTTTTTTTTTACTTTGGAGGGAGTTAGGGCACCAGTTTACTCCTGCTTCAGGCCTTTATCATAATCTAAAGGCTTGCTCTAGATTTACATTTAGCATACAGACAAAACTGGCAAACTTTTTTAACTTGGTAAGCAAGTTGACAAGTGGAATTCCCAAAATGTTGCTTTCAACATTTTCACTTAAAGTATCTTCTCACAATTCTATACTGTACATCATTCACCAAGTGGCTTCAATGCTTTGAAATGGTGCCAAAAAAATGTGAAAAATGTATAGAGAGGTAAAATTAGTTTATTACAAGTTGTGGAAACGTAGCTAGTGTTATATAGGTGTGCAGTTAACAATAGTATAGAGTAGGTAATTACAAAGACATTCATGGCTGACCTGTGGTAGACGCCGCTGCTGCCTGGACATTTTGAAATACAGAATGAAAATCGGCACCTTAAACCTCTGAAAGTATAAAACAAGGGAATGAGGCTCAGAGGGAAACAGCTAAACAAGACAAAAGAACCTACTTTGCTTGATACAGTCTAGTGCGAATGCTTTGGTTTTAAAAATAAAAAAACTGTCTTTTTATATCAAACAACCATGACTGTCCTTGGGCTCAAGCAGAAAAGGCAAAAAAAAAAAAAAAATCCACTAAGTGTGACCAATAAATGCAATCACTGCATGAAAGAGTGACAGCTAGTGGGCAATCATTCCTGTTGTCCTGGTCTCTGGTGTGTTCAGCTACCATCTTTGGTACAGTCAAGTACAGTACTTGCGCTGGGTGAACATGACTCAGCTGCTGGTTTTGCTGGTGCTCTGCTCTACTCTGTAGCTCCATTTCCCAACAAATTAATAACCTAATTAATGGAGATGGAACATGAAGCCAGTTCATATTGATCACAACTTGGTCCCACATATAAATTTAAAATTATATATACACATATAATACTTAAGTTTTTGATGAGCTGGCCTCACTGAACAATTACTAAACCTGAGGAACACTCTTTTTAATTATCCTTCTTTGCTACGACTGTGATGGATCCACACAGTGCAAACGCCTCCTTCTACAAAGACAAGTACTGGAACATAACACCACCTGTTTACCCTGCCGCACCCCTCTCACTCTTACTGTTATTCACAGGTGATTGACCCATTTGTATGTTCCCTCATAGCGAAATCCAACTCTCTTCGAAAGGTCGTCTGCTTCTACCGGGCCACGACTAAGAAAGCAAAGCAAAACAATCACAGTCAAAACTTATTAAATTCCTCTTCCATTTAAAGGCACAATGAGTCACGTCCTACCTTCCATATTTATAGGGAAGAGGTCTGGGCTTCTCTTTCTCTATCTGATGAAGGAGAGGTGTGAAGATCCTCCATGCTTCCTTTAGTTCATCACTACAGAGAGGAAATTCAGCATGTGGTTGAGAACATAAAGAGCTGTCATATTGCAAAAATATACAATTTTTATGTTCCCTCACTGAGACAGAGAGAAAGAATATAACATTGTGCTGCCATCTAGTGTTCAGAAACGTTAGTTCACACAAAGCACTCAAAACGTGACATTACAAGAAACAAGTGCAGTGCATGTCCAGTGAAGTCAGACAGCTGTGGAAAACGAGACAGACCTGCGTACAAAGTGCATCTGACTCCCACAGAAGACATCCAGGATGAGACGCTCGTAAGCATCTGGAAGCTTCACATTCTGAGAACAATGCATTCATTAATTAAAATAACACAGTCAGTAAAACCAATCTGAATACGCTATGCTATGGGAAATTATTATGTACATTTGTCTGACATTGTACAGACCAAATAAAATCAGAATGAAGGAAAAGGCTACTGTACATAATGAAACAGCACTCATTTTCTTTCTATTGTGAGCCAGCATCCATTTGTGGCTCGACTGTGATCAAGTTTATATTCGATCAGTTTGAACCCACCTTGTATCTGCTCTTGTAGGTGAGGTCCAGCTCAGTTTCTTCAGGGCTGAAGTAAACACCAGGTTTCTTGCTCATCATCTTGGCGTACACGGCCTCATTAGGCTGCACACGTACCACCAGCTCATTCCTGCGACACTGTTTTCCAAATATGTCTCCTGGGACATCTGTGAACTGCAGTCGCACCTCAGCTTTCCTCTCATTCAGAGCTTTTCCACAGCGAAGGATGAAGGGAACACCTGAGGAGGACAGGTTCCATACCAACGCATCATGAAAGGCAATGTGACATCCATAGGATGTTTTGGGGAGACTTTTGGAAAGGTCAGAATTTGTTTACCATCCCAGCGTTCGTTGTGCACATAGAGCACAACAGTGGCGAAAGTGGCCTGAGTTGATCCTTTAGGAACTGTGGGATCATCAAGGTAACCCAGTTTGGCATCTCCCTCACCGTCTGGATCCCCAACATACTGACCCAGCACCACATCTGACATGGTCACTGGAGCAATGCACTTTAGCACCTTCACCTGTAAGAAACATCACTTAGTAAGAGAACACATACTGTCGTCGTCTTCCCCCCCGTAAATGCTCATATAAAAGCAGGTATTGAAATAATGGCAGAATAGCTAATAAAGGCCAGGTAGAAATACATCCAGGGAGGTGGGGTTATCTGTAGCCTACCGCTCACATCATAAATTTAGTTTAATGCAAATTTCATCAACAACAACTTTGGATTTCTACCTAATACATACAATGTTTTAATAGTGTAAGTCCAGGTTTTTTAAACCAGGTTACTGTCAACAAAACAACTTTCTGATCATATTTTCACAATAAAAGCCTACAAGAGTCTTAATATGAAAATCTGAGGGGAAGTGTTGACTATAATTAGTGTAACATCATTAAATAGATGGAATTAGTCCTGTGGAAATGTTGAATTCATCAAGACAACAGGAAAACGAAGAGTTTGCATTGTCCCAAACCGAGGCCTGGTTCACCGTGCCACACGTCAACAAGATCCTGGCCACTATTTTAGATGTTACACTGAACCATAATATACTGCAAGTGTCCGTATCTGTCCTGACAGAAGAGGTGCTGAGCACTTTTTGATCTCAGAACCAATTTAGTACCTTTTCATCCCTGACATCATCAGAGCTGGTGGAAGCTGGTTTCTCCATGGCAACCAGGCTGAGCATCTGGAGCAAGTGGTTCTGCATAACATCTCTGGCCACAAAAAGGCGAACACAGAAGACAAAAAAGGGAAAAAGTGACAGTGTTGACAATTTTAGTAACGAAACCTCTAATTGATCCTGTGTCAGTACCGATGTACCGTTCAAACAAATCAAATCTATGGATCGCCAACATGGTAATTTGCCTTGCAGCGAGCTGCTAAGGGTTAATTACCACTAAAAAAGGTAACACTAACCCCAACATAGAATAAATAAATGATTAATAACACTATATTGCAACTGTACACAAATAAGAACATTTAGGTCTTTGTCAACAATCATAAAACTTCTATTAAGACATTTTATATTACTGCTTCACTATTTCTACACTTAAGTGTCCACAGGAGGAGTTTGTTGTTGACAATTAATCTCATTACATTCAATCTCTCAAGTACATTGTGTAAAATGTATTCAGTGTTCAGGTGTTACCAATGAAAGTAATGATTAAACTAGAGTGCAACTAAACATGCAGTGTTTAAGTATAGAGTCTCCAGTTACTGTTCTCTGCTCCTTTTTATATACCTTCCCTTTAAATCTGGGTACAAACGCATTCAATATCACAGTGCAAAGAGACTTAAAGGGATTTATCCCCCCTCACCGGATGATGCCAAAATCATCAAAGTAGCCTCCTCGTCCCTGCGTGCCAAATGGTTCTTTAAAGGTGAGGACAACACAGGCCAGACTGTCCCTGTTCCAGATCGGCCCGAAGATTCGGTTTCCAAACCTGCAACAAACATCACAGTTGCCCTCTGCGCAACAGCACTGCCGCACAGTTGTTCAAAACGACATGGATAAACATTTATCTTTTGTTCCTGGTTAGAGGCCAATTTATATTTCTATTGTGATATTCTAATCAAGTGTAGCCATTTCTTTTTCTCCTTCTCATTGTGAGGAAAGTGGTAAAATTACAGCTGACCTGTGACTTTTGATTCAGACCTATTGAAACAATGGGGAAAACAACACTGTGGCATATGGAGAGGAGGAGAACGAACTGAAGTCTGGACACAGAAACAGAATGTTAAGTCACCACTTAACAAGTGGATTGGCGCATCTCATTTACTGAGACTTTGTTCCTCTATAGATGTTCACCAGCAAAACATATACCCGTTTACAGCACTGTCTGATATCAATCAGACATCTTTACAAAGACATCATATTATAGCTAAATGCAAATAAACAAAAAAGCAGCTTCATCTGAAGAAGGTTCTTACCTGAGCACCATGAGGCTCTGCACCATTTCTTTGCCCAGGTAGTGATCTATACGGTAGACCTGGTCTTCAGTAAAGAGGGACGAGAGGTGAGTGGACAGCTCTTCAGAGCTCTGAAGGTCATGGCCAAAGGGTTTCTCTACAATCACCCTGTTCCAGCCTCTGCACAATATCAAAATACACAAAATTATCATCAAGCCCTGTCCACGTTGTTCTTCTTTCCTCACTCATCACTGAGACTCATTATAGGGACACAACGGGCTTTCCACTTAATGCTGGCCTTACACTAGAAGACTACGATAAGACTCAGAAAAGAAAGAATTGAAAAATGGGGCAGAAACAAAAGCAGTGTTTTGTGACAGCTGCACTTATGTGTGTGCAGTTTTTTGCTTGGAAAAAAAACAGCCAGAAAGAAAAAGACACTGCAGAATGTGGACATGACCCTGGTTAACTGAAAGGGGACAGCAAGGTCTGTCCAGCCTTTCTCTTTCTCTAGTCTGTCGTGAGATATTCTTGCTCAGTCCACACCTACACCAGTTTCTCCTCCTTTGTAATGGTCCAACAGAACTGTGCCTTCCGGGGCTTTACTGGAGCCTCCATCACATTTAGCCTAAGTTAGTTTTACCTTGAAATTCCATCACTTTCATTGGAATTGCTTTGTTGGGTTTTCCTCTATAATAATAGTGATGATAATAAGGTCTAGACCTTACTTTGTAAAGTGTCCTCAGATGACTTTTGTTGTGATGTGGCGCTATACAAATAAAATTTGAATTGAATTTAGATACTGATCATTCCCAGCAGAGATTCAGTTCTGTGTGTTGACAGACCTCCAGACACAACAGGCAAAATACAACAGTAAGAGAAGTGTGTACTGACTTTGTGCTCATACAGTGGTGCTTGATGTTCTTGGTAACATCATGGTAGACAGTGGGTGGCAGGGCCAGGTAGAACAGACGGTTCGCCCCAGCTCCCCCGGGTAAAGACAGGATGTGTGCGTTGAGTTTAGTGAAGGAACTCTCATCAACATATTTCCCACTGATATACGAGTTCTTGCTGAAGAAGGCCGACAGTCGCTCTGCTTCTGTGTCTGTCACCTGGAGCAGAGTGTGGGAACATTCATACATGGGTTAAATGCAAAAACAAAACAAAAAAAAAACTTGACTTGATAGCTTGGCTTAATCTAAAGACACCAGGACAATACACGAAATACATGTGATGGTTTTAAAATTACAGGAAAAAAGCACACATTTACAGACTAGTGGTATAATATAAATAGATATCACCCTACATCAGTGGTTCTCATATTCCCCACTTAAGAGGGCGGGCGAATTGTCAAACCCCATTTGTCAAAAAATTATAAACGAAATTGTCCAATTTTAAAATTTTAAATTTATTGAAATATCAAACACCAAGTTGAAAACAGATAAAATACAAGTGCAACTGTATCGTTTTTGACAGGGGGATAGTTTTCAATTTTGCAGCACTTGTTTCATCCAGCATAATCGACACCATGTCTACAGTTACAGGGAGAATAAGCTGCTCAGCAACTGTTGACGGGGGTGTGTTGTCTCTAAATGTCTTAATTTGTTGGGTCTCATGCTGTCTGCTGCCAGCGGTTTAAGACAAGACACATATGGGTCCCTCCCTCTGCCTCCACCATTCCAAACATGAATCCAAGCGCAAGATAGGCTTCATCATATTTTCTTTTCGGTTGGCTTTTTGGTTGATAAGGCTACTGCCTGTTGTTTATTTGTCTGCTTGCACTGCATCACCTACTTTTTTTTGTGGTCCATGTAACACATTTATCCATTTACATTATTATACCCACTGCGTACACTATTGGCCCTCTGTGTGAACGTTTCCTTATATTGTTGCACTGCAGTTAACATGTCGACATCAAACCGTTATTGTTAAACTATGGTTCCACTTTTTTCTTCCGGGCCCCGAACTGATGTTATTTTAATTTACGTGTATTAATGAACCATTTCTAATTTTCTCCGTTCATTGTGCCCCACCTGTCATGTCTTTATTCCCCACTAGTGGGGCACGCCCCACACTTTGAGAACCACGGCCCTACATGAAGTAGACCTAGTGTAAACTTGCAATAACATGCTTAACCACTTGGGAGCAGGGGAAACAAGCTTTAAACAACACTGACATACAGTATCACATATCAAGTTGACACAGATCCACATCCAGCAGTTACAGAGCAACATCATTCAAGTGGAGTTGAGTTTCTGGCCATGCGGTAAATTTGAACCCAACATTCACTCCATTTTAATTTCTGCCAACTTCTGGGAGGAATGGCTGACTCTTTTGCTGATAAAGGTTCCACTATGTTCACCAGCTTGTACCCAACTGTCTGTTGGTATTGAACAGTGAATTTTCAAAGGTTTTGCTGTAAATCCCACCGCTCGAATAAAAAATAGTAATAGTAATAAATAAATGAGAGGGACTTTTAAAAAGGTCCAGGTTTACCTTCAGATATGGCATGGAAGATGCCCGGATAGTATCAACAGTCAAGTTTGAGCGAGCAAAGCCCACAAAATAAGTCTGCTCAGGGAGGAGGCCATCTCTGAACAACCACCTGGGAGAGAAAAGAGGAAAAACATACAGTCCATTGAACCCAACTTCAGAATCTCCACTACAGATTAGAGTATGATCTTTCATCAGCATTTGCTGTGCTACTAATGCCCAATCTGTTCAGCGGGTCCACTCACCATAGAGTTGGATAGATTTTCTTCTTAGCCAGATCTCCCTATAGGTACAAACACACAATAAGAAAAATGATTTGTACACAGTCATTAACAGTCGATGCAGTGTTTTAGAAGAACTGTGCTGCTTATTTAACTAGTGCACTCTGCTAGTAGTTATTTTCCACTAGATAAAAGTCTCAAAATGGTGCAGTACTATAGGCCACACCGTGGGGTGACAGGTACAGTAGATTGGCTGCACTGGCTTATTTAGGAACTGTGCCTTAGTGATCCCACTGGGAACAAATTCCAACTGCTTGGACACAAAAGACTGTTCCTGTTGCTAACTAATATAATGTTGAAGAACTACTTAAAACTACTTTAATAATACTTAAACGTTTCACAGTAAAACACAAGACACATACTATATATTTGATAAAGACCTTCTATGTATTTAACCTGTTACATCTTAACAGAGGCACTGGAATAAAAAGATTACCTGAGGTAAACATGGATTCAAGGATGAGCTGTGCCACATATATTAGAAGTCAACTTCAGTCAAAGTTCCCATAACATACTGATGGCCTAAATCACATTCTGACATCTCCCTGGGAATTATGTATTTAACTGTACACGGGAGGAACTGGACAAAAACAAGTCAGTAACTGGAACCGATCTGATATGCACAACATTAGCAGATGACTAGCAGCACACAGTCACACCTCATATAAACAGCAATAACTACTGAATTAGTAGCAGTAACTAAATGTTGTCTACATGTAATCGTGTGGTAATAAACCGACACATTTCAACAGCACTCACACACATTAAACAAGTACAATCAGAGTGAGACAGCTCAGCCCTTCCCCTGACCCGCCTGTGTATCACAATGAAAGAAAAATGCTGATCGTTGGTGACACTGCAAAAGTCAGCAGCCCAGTCCTCACCCAAGAGCAAACAGTGCAAGAGAGGACAACAGCAAATATGCAGGATGGCTGGACCGAGACAGTGAAAATGTTTCTACAATATGTGATTGCAAAAGTCACTGATATGTTAAATGATTACAAAAAAGACCCACAAACACACACAAGGAAATAGTTGTCAAAAGAATGATCCTGTAGGCAGTGACAACAAAGCTGCTGTTGCATTAGTTCACATTCTCACAGATATAACCATGTGTCTGTAAACCTTTTACATTTAATAATATAAACAATTTTAATAAGAAGGCTGCACATATGGATCGGTTTAGGACAGACTGGGGGTAGAGCACGCACTGAAAGAAGATGCAAGGAAGGAAAACAATGTGTAAGAAATAAGGAAACAGATGAAGTTCTGGTTTGAAATGTTTTAGTTCCTGAAAACATCTCAACAGTATGAGGAAATAGTAAGCAGTGTAAAGAGACACTTTTCCATTATATTTTTGTGATGGATCAACATAATACGAGTATCAACTGTCAACTGCTGAAAACTGTACTATTTTATGTGTGAAATCCATGGCCTGTTCTATTCTTTAACTCAGATACTCTTTTTTTTTAAGCCACATTCTCATACAATAAGGTATTGGTATTAAAATGTTTTAATAATATCCTGTTCTAATTATGGGTGCACCAGCCAGTAACATACAGTACTGAAATGATAAGCAAAGAGGAACCTTGAGGTTTTCACTTTCTCAATTCCAGGTTTTTGAAAGCTCGGATGACCAAATGGCATTTGTTTGCAGAAGCATGGTGAAATCAATGTCAACATTTCCTTTGTCAGATGTGCAATTATTGCACTATTTTTAAAGATTTCAACACACTTTCTTTGAAAGTGCCTAAGCTGACCTACACTGGAAATGTGCCAAAAGCTTTTTTTAAGTCACACAGCAAATCAATCGTTAGCCCTTTTATTTAATCTGAAAGCATGCAACGCCTTATCAGTCACTGACTCGATTCTGACCGCCCTCCCCTGCTCTCACCGAGGCTCCCATGATGATGAAGATGTGGACATCAGACTGATGGAACTCTTCATCTTCAAACAGCTCCTTCCTCAGCTCCCCAAACACCTCAGAGCGAGAGAGGGGGATGTCACTCATTTTCTCTAAAAAGCAGACAAACAGAAAAGTCAGTTGAAAAAATTGTTCTTTTGCATGTTAAACCAACCATCAAGAACACAAATACTGATGTCACTCCTACATAATAAGAATTTACCAGTGTCTGTAAGCCTGCACAGTAAATAGTGTTAAGTTCTAAACATGAAGGTTACTGGGAACACTTCACACAACCCTGTCGTGTGTGTCTGGGCTTTAAGATAGGGCGCACACACACACACAAACACACATACTGTACAATATGGCTGGGGTCCAAAAAAGAAGACAGGG